TTGAAAGGTCATGTGGCTAGCTCAGGATGAAAGGTAAAATAACTAAGGAAAAGCCCCCTGGACTTCTCCTGCAACAAGAACTCAGCAATGGATGAGTTTGGAGAAACAGGAAAAGATCATTTGGCAACATTTGCTGGGTCATTAGGCTGTTTTGAGTTTTGCTCTAAAATACTATGCAGTGGGTTTTAGGGCATAAAATATCTCAGTTTTAAAAATTAATTTTTATTTATGTTTATAAGTGCTATGTTCCATGTATGTAAGTGCTCCCATGCTGTGTAAAGCTTGCAGAAGCCAGAGGAGGGTTTGGATTTCCTGGAACTGGAGTTACAGACAGAGTTGTTAGCTGTTATGTGGGTACTAGGACTTGAACCAGGCTCCTCTGCAAGAGCAGTCAGTGCTCTTAACTGCTGAGCAGTATCTCCAGGCCCCCAAAATATTTCAGTTTTTAACCTAAAGAAAATGATTAATGGTTCTTAAATGTGTTGTGCTGGATAGCGTTAGTGTGAACTTGACACACCTGGGTACGGGGAGCCTCAGTTGGGGAATTGCCTCCATTGGACTGGCCTGTGGTAATGTCTGTGGGACATCTTGTTTATTGAGTGATGTGGAAGGACCCAGCCCACTATTGTTGGGTATGTTGTATAAGAAAGCAGGTTGAATATGGGCCAGGGGAGCAAGCCAGTAAGCAGTGTTCCTCTGTGGCCTGTGCTCCAGCTCCTGCCTCCAGGTTCCTGCCCTGAGTTCCTACCTCAGGCTCCCTGACTAACTGTGACTGGGAGATGTAAGACAAATAAACCCTTTCCTCCCCAGGTTGGAGGAGTGTTTTATCACAGAAATGGAGAAACAGACTAGAACACACATACTTTTTATTTTTCAGAGACAACCCTGTTAAAGACAAAAAGTTAAATTAAAATGTTGGGACAAGATTTCTTGTAGGAAGAATAGTTAGGAAACCTTGGTTAGCTGAGAGCTAGTATTTACATGATAGGACAGAAAATCGAAAACAGTAAACATCCATAAAAAAAACATTCTTCAAGAATTAAATTCAGATTTACTGATAGACTCAGTAGGGGAAAAACAGGAAGTACATAGTGACAATCTGCACAGTTAGCCACCTTGACACTTACCAGTTATGACATTCATATTTTACACTAGTAATAAATTGGATGTTAGAAGCACAAAAGGCCCTAAGAGGTTGGAAATTCTCAGCATAAAAAACCGTGAGTTTGTGTTTTAACCAGGACAGTGAAGGATGAAATTAAATAGATAATAGATGTCCATTTCTAAGGTGTGGACATCAGCGGCTACCCCACCTCTACCACAGTGGGCAGGTTATTCATGGGTCATAGAAAACAGGGTGGAAAACCGAAATTGCTTCCTAATGTTTCACTTTGGTCTTGGTTAGGGTATTTTACACTCAACAAACCCTTCCCTTTTCCATCCAAAATTGTTTTCTTCTCAAGGCAATTCTAAATAAACTTGCTGTTATTAAAAATGTTTTCTGCATTTCTGAACTAATTATACTTTCATGAATGCATCACTTCAAAACAAACACTTGATCTATTTTGAATAACGTTATTAATAGATTATGTGTCTAACATCTTTTCATGAGTATTGTGGGCTTAAAAGCAATAAAGTAAAAAAAAATAGATTTAGGATTATCTGCAAGTATCTGTTGAACATGAAAATATTTACTGGTGGCAGATGGGAGCCATGTAAGCTTCGGGGAAGACACGGGGTTGGGCTTTTACCCCTGGGCTTTTCCTGCTACTGAAGGGACAGACAGGAGAAAGACTTCTGGGCGGCTCTCAGGCTCTCTTTTTCCACTATCTGGGTCCTAGGGATGGATCTCAGGTTGCTAGGCTAGACAACAAATTCCTTCACCCACTGAGCCAGCTTCCCAGTCCTAAATTCTGCCCTTTAGAGCAACCAACAGGTGAGAGTTTAGTATTTGCATATGATACCTCCTCTTTCTTCTTCATTCTGCCTGAGCAAGCAGTTGCTATATAAATATCTACCATTCAAGGAATATTCACTCTCTAATATAACAGTGTTACTGACTCTCTGTACCTCCGATGGTCTTAGGTCCTGGCTATGTACACAGGAAGGTTACAGCTCTCGCATGTAACAGAAGAGATGGGCACTATGCTTCTCTAAAGGACTGGTCAGGATTTGGATTTCTCCACTCCTCAAATCCACTCTACCTTCTCATGGCTCCAGCCCTCCTCCCCATGTGCTAGATCTTTATCATCTAAGTCCTTTCTGTCAAAAATCAATTTTTTAGAGAACTGTCCACACACACACACACACACACACACACACCCCTGTGTGGATGTTGACGTGTCATCTGTCTGTCTTCAAATCCTCCCACCCAAGTTCTTTGAGGAAAATAACTGTGTCTTATGTTTGTTCCCATGAACTTCACAGTAGTAATGTATATACAAATACTTAGTCAATTTATGGGCCCCCGAGACACCAACAATTAATTTTTGTTGCTCTTGCTTTGATTTTCTGGGCAGGGTCTCCTTATAGCCCCAGCCTACCTGGAACTCACTATGTAGACCAGACTGGCCTCACTCTCACAAAGGCCCCCCTGCCTCTGCCCCCAAGTGCTAGGATTAAAGGTGTGTACCACCATGCCTGGCCTCAAACAATGATTTTCAAATACATAAAAAAAAAAAGGAAAAAAACTAGGATGAACAGTTTGAGAACTTTGAAACAAAATTAGATAAATTATTTTTGGAGAGATAGAACAAAGATCTCATATAATAGATTAAATACCTAATTCTAAGAAAAGGGGAGAGTTGTCAGGTAGAAAAAGGACAAAATTTATTGGGCAAAAAACCATAAAAAATAAGGTTTCCTAAAACCAGAAGGTATAGTCTAACAAAAGTAAATGGTTCAATATAGCAGAGGCTCATGCTGCCTAATTTTAAAGAAATGATGTATGGGCTGGATCGATTCCTTTGCTGTTGTAGTAATATAATACTTAGAATGGGGAATCACAAAGAGTTTTATGTAACAACAGCTTGGGAGCCTGACACCCTAGGATTGGGTCTTCCCATGTAGTCCTCATCAAAGGTAACATCCCCATGGAGAACCATAAGGTAGGATAAAGGTCATGGTGACACAGGAGGCTGGAGAGGGCCTCAGGGTCAGGTACATTCTCTTCATATCAGCCCAGGCTGTGGGAAAGAGCCAGGTTTCCAGAGAAGCGCATTCATTCTAAGGCTTAGGCTCTTTTCCAAAAATCCCACCACATCCTGCAGCGCTTTTCCAAAATCCCACCACATCCTGCCACTGCCATCCGGAAGACCAAGCTTCCTATACAAGGACACTTTAGGGAACCTGTCAACAAGATGCCCAGCTTAGCCAGGGCATAGGAAGAAAATTTAGAATGTTATTCAGACAAAATTTCTCTTCAAAGGAATCACATGAAGTATTTTTGTAAAAGAATGCCATTATTTTACTTTGTTCTGAGTGCATGCAGGTAGATCTTATGAAATGAGCAGGTAAATCCAGGAGAAAAATGAGACCTGCGAGACTAGGGTTGAACCCCTGCAAGAGCAGAGGTGAAAGATGTGCGGGAGGTGCGGGAGAGGAAAGAGAGCACTGTGGTACCATACGTGTGACAGTATGTTGAAGCTGGGCATGGCGGTGCACGCCTGTAGCCCCAGCACTCAGAGGCAGAGGCAGGCGGATCTCTATAAATTCAACGCCAGCCTGGTCTGCATAGTGAGTTCCAGATCAGCTGAGGCTACAGGGAGACTGTGTCTCAAAAAGACAAAAAAGAAGAAAAAAGAAAGTAAGCAGCAAACATTTGTATGGGTCACGTTTGTACTCACCTTCTCGATGACACTCATATTTTGGTTGCTCGATCCATTAATTCCAGCATGTATGCAAGTGTGCCATAAACACACACATACACCCAGATCAGCCTTCTGTAGCTCCTAACAGAGTGGCTAGTGGTTTCCAAGTGTCCGTTTGACAACTTGCAAACAGGGCCTTCACATTTCATTTGTATCATAATGCTATTTTAGGCCCATTACTGTGTGATATTTGATAAGGTATTATCAGTGTTTGCAATATGAATTGGTTATCACTTCTGATTGATGGGCACTTTCTTGAAGAATTTAATGGAAGGATAACAAGCTCTTCAGAAGCAGTTTGATGTTTTCTTTTTATAAGAATTGTATAAATGTACTTACATTACTGTTGTGTCAGTCTAAGATAGTGTTAAATAGTTCTAAAATGCTAACAATGTATATTAACAAATTATGGTGTTGATTACAGTAGGATCACTAGGATCATACAATCCGATAGATTTTATGTCTTCTTTTCCCACAGATCATTGGGTAATGCATCTATTGCTATATAATGCTTTATATATCTGTCAATCTCTTGCTAAATATACACATGGATTCTTTCTTTCTTCCTTTCTCCCATTTTCTGATCTGCTCCCATTGATGATTCTGTACTTTTGACTCCAGACTGGCAATATGAGGGTAAGATGACAAAAATTAAAACCCCAGATACATCATGGACATCCTGTGCTTGTCTGTCTTTATTTCATTGTTTTTAGAACACTATTAAAATTCTATTCATTTTAATTATGCCCTTTATCATAATTAAAGTCCAATTATGTTTGTTTCTGTTGTGGAGCTTTATCATAATTTATCCTTGTCATTAATTCTTTATGTTTTCTCTGGGTTAAATTACCATCCCATTACCTCTATCCTGAAGGACTTCTCTCCAGTGATCTCTGCTGGTTTCTCAGTAAGATCTGAATAATGATTGGGTTTAGAAGTGACTGGGTTATGTTGTTGTAGAAGCTGTATGGGTCTTAAGAAATGTCCTTCTTAGTAAAATAGTTAAACATCTTAAAATGCTGTATTTTAATTTTATTGTAGGGATATGCTTTTTAAAACTAACTCTGTGAATTTGATCTAGAGAAGGTGTTTGCAGTTGTCATTGCTTACCTTTGATTATCTTCTCTCTAGATTGCAAATTAGCTAGGGGAGGCCCCCCAGCTACCATCGTGGCCATCGATGAAGAGAGTCGGAATGGTGAGTGAGCTTGCGATTACAAACACTCCATCTGGGACAGAGGTCTTTAAATTTAGCCTTAGGTTTGGTATAAGCAGAGACACCACATGGCAACTTCCACACAAATCATGAAGGGCTTGCTTTCACTTCCTCTGTTCTGTGAATTTGAAATTTGTTACTCCTTAAAATTCTTTTCTTGAGTTATGTCATGAGAGATTCCTTCAGTATTTATTTCTGGATGAGGAGTGACTTGATCGGAGTCAGCCCAACTGTTCATCAGACATGTTTTGGAATATGTCAGTATGTGGAACTGGCAGTCATGCATATGAGCATCCACCTGAAAGTGTGTTCCTCCAGAGAGGTGTTCATATGATAAGGCCTGTGTAAAATGTGTTAAAAACCAAGGGTCAAAGCTGGTGAGCCACTGCAGTTGAGCGTGGTAAGGAAGTCTGCAGGTACTAGAGAGAGGACATAGCCAAAGTCAGGGCAGGGAAAAGGTCTGAAGATTTACTCCATGCATAATTACAGCGAACCCTAACCATGTCAAATTCTTCTAACAATTTCAAATTTCTCAAAATTTAAAATATTCCTTCACATCTTGCTCTGGAGTAACCGCTCACATGCTTGGACTTGACTGGGCATTAAGTCCCACAGCACGTGTTCTTCATAGCTTTGTTTAGGTTTCTCCTCTTACTTACTTGAGGAACCAGTACATGCTTTTATTTTCTTCCTCATCCTTTTGTAATAACCCAAAATGTCTGCATGTTCATACCCTGAATTTAAACAATTTTTTAATGTTAAGTAATAACAAAAATATATTTTGGTTATTTAAATATTAACTCTACTGATAATAAAATCATATGGAATGAGAGTTATTATGACCCATCAAAATATGTTGGAAATTAGTTCTAATTACATTAAAAAAATATTAAAATAGTATAGTAGGAAAATAGTAGTTCATATGTAGATTTATGTTTTACTTATTTCTCTTCACAACAAACCTGTATTTTCTTAATACCTCAAATTGAACTTTAAAAAATTGTGTGTGCATTTGTGTCTATGTGTGTGTGTGTGTGTGTGTGTGTGTGTGTGTGTGCGTGTGCGTGTCTATGTGTCTATATGTGTCTTTATCTGTGTGAATATAAGCCACATGTGTGATGGTGCCTTCAGAGGTCGTAAGAAGGCATTGGGTCTCTTCCTATAGAGCTGGAGTTACAGGCAGTGGTGAGCCTCCTGACATGGATACTGGCAACCATACCTTATTTTTAACCAATTTCTCTGTGCATAAAAACTGTGCTGAAATGAAGCATTTGATTTTACGTAACGAATGTCCTTCAGTGTGTGGCTGCACGTGCTTTGCTATCCAGGTGACCCGTCTGATGGCACTGACTTGTCTCCTTTGCTATTTGTCCTGCTTTTCTCAAGGGCGTGGGGACCCTGCACAGAGAAGACCCTGGCTGTGCTGCACAGGCCCATGTGGGGAGTTCAGTATTGGCATTGTAGAAGAACATGACACGATGCAGTACAAGGATGTTGTGCTTCTTGCTTGACATATTTTGTAAAAACTGCCAACTCCTCAGAGTGCTGCAAAGCTCTATGTGTCGGTACACAGTATAATATCAACTTAGAGTATAAATGTTTTGCAGTTTTCTTTTACATGAAATTTCTAAAACTATGGTAATCAAAGGAATTTCTGCCAGACACCATAATGTGTATAATCATCTTTGAGGTCAAAATCTAAAACAAAATCAGGACAATAACATTTATAATTTTCTCTGGCAAACCAAGAAACTTCCCAGTAAACCAATCATTTCAGGCCCTGCTATTAAACAGTATTAATGTATGATTTCCTCCATCATGTCTTTGGTAGTAATAAAATATTTGTGTATTCTGTTTTTTACAGGACCCAGTAGGTAGCAGGATGTTTGGGTATATTTCAGAGAGATGAAAATAAATACTGAAGTTCTCACCTGAGCCAATCTGGGCCTTGATCCTTTCAATGAGTTAAATCTAGACCACTCATGTGAGATAGTGTGGATGTGATTTGCCTCCCCTCTCCTCTCTCTGTATGACTGTTTATGACTCATTTCTATAATTTGTTTATATATAAAATATTTCCTTTTGTTTCATATGTTTTAGTGTCTTAACTTGATTCCTAGATGCAGAAAAATAAATCATTTTATGATATTTTTTGTCTGCCTAGATGGATCATAGATGCTACATAGCATTAAAATCATGATTTCAAACTCATTCATCAGCACACCTCTATTTTTATCCAACTCATCATCAAATCACACTGATTCATTTTGTTTGCTGTTAAAGTAGTTCACATTAGCTAGGAAACCATTTTCCAAAAAATTGTTAAGGTGCTATCATCTCTAGCTGCCCATCTATTTTAATCCTTTCATGGTTTTTACTATGAGAGAACCATTGTTAGAGAAAACCATTTAGCTGTGCCCATCCTTGGGAAGGCTGTAGACACAGCAATGAATTCCACTGCTTCATTTGTGCCAAAGGATCATTTTCTAAAAGGTCAGAGCTCCAACCTTTTGAATATGAAGCTGAACTGATATGCAGACATTTTCTAAACACTGAGAAAGTAGGTTGTTCCTTATCCAAAAATGATGTATAATTTTGTTGGAATTTTATCATGGTCCACCTTCTTGTTTGCTGACTGAATAGCTCCAAATACAGAACTGCATTTTAGTAACTAATGGAAGGAGCACAACACTAGGAACAGGAGACATGTGCAGAGTAGAGGATATGTCACACAGACACCAAACTGGAATTTTAGTGTAGGGAGAAATAACTGCAAAATTGGGGTCCTCTCAATTACTATTTTGAGGCTCACGAGTCTAGTATTCTTATAGATGATGAAAATACTAAATTTTGCAATGTTACACCTGATTTCTAAGAAAATAAAGACCATGTTCTTTTAGGTTTGCATGTTTCCCCTTCATGCAAAGCATTCATGTTAACCATGTGTAGTATGAGATATAAACCTGAATCAGGCACCCTATGGAAAAATGTGTTCTCTCAGTGTTTTTCACAATAGGAAACTTCTTATTAATAAGTCACTTAATTTTTTTCTTGATTCCATGTGTAAGTAGCATGAAACACATTTGTGAGGCGCAGTGGCCCCAGTCATCAGTGTTTTGATGCTCATTTCTCATTCAGTCATCAGAGATGGAAGAAGTCAGGTGCAAATAGCAGGAACGACAGATCCTGGCACAGGAGGAAAGGAGCATGTGCGGGGTTGTATTATGGGAAGGGAGTGAGGGAAATTTATCTTCCTCATTCCCTATGTGCTATGGCGCTTAGGTTTCGCGTGTTTAGTGTTTTTCAACTGTTAGCCAGTAAGGCTCTGATGAAAATCATTACAAGCTGATTCAATAACTGGTTTTAAAAGGAAGTATGGCCTTCCCCTGAGCGGAACCACTCTGACCGTGGTTCTCACACACACTAATCCTTGCTTACACTCTGAGAGTTTAATTTCCACTTCCTGCCTCCCCAAGTCCTTTCTTTCTTTCCCAAGTTTCCATTACACAGGACATTCTAGCACTATGCACATCCCTTGTAATCAGATACTGGCTTGATGGTACACCTTGCTCAGACAGTTGCAGGGTAGGTTTTCTTCACTAGGACACAGAGAATCTGAAGTGGGTCAAAACCCTCACCTTTGAAGAGTGCATTAATCAACAGAGTGTGGTTCTTAGCAATCACTTGACAAAAACAGTAATTCCAAAATGCTTTAAAATGCTTCTTTGTCTCAAAATGCCTTCCAGAGTAATCTTCAAAACAAATGTTTTTATTCTAAATAATTATACACATCATTGTTAAGGTATTTCAATTCAATATGAGTTGCTTGTGTGGATCAAAGAATATGAAAGTATTTGTTAGGCATTAATCTATAGTTACTTAAGGAAACTTTTGAGAACCCACTGAATCTAGTATGTATTTTATATTAATTTCAGGTCACACATATTAAGCAAACTGCACAATTATTCTTTATATAAAATAAATAGGAATCTACTAATTATAGTGCTCTCACTTAGTAAAAAGGGCTTGCAGAGGCTAGAAAGATGGCTCAGTAACTAAGAGTACTGCCTGCTCTTGCAGTCCAGCACCCACATGGCAGCTAACAACCACTATAACTCCAGTTCAGAGGATTTGACTCCTTCTTCTGACCTCTGTGGACACTGCATGACACGGGTACACTTACATGCTATATGTATGCATGAAATATACTCATGCACATAAAAGAAATTTAATAAAAATAAAATATTTTAAAAGGTTTAGGGAATTATTATAGGCAATGAATTACTTTTAAATCTACCAGAACTACTTCCCATTGGTTACCAAAGGCAGCAGGTTTTTTTTGGGGGAAGGGGGTATATTTTGTTCAGTTTGGTTTGCATTGCAATTTACTTTTGTTTTCTTGATTATGATTTTTTTTCATGTATTAGATTTGGTTCTCAGACTCCAGTGTTGCTGTGGTTGTCAGTAAAGTGTCTTTTCTAAAGGCATTTGGTACCAAGTCCTTTCCATTTTGTTCTCTGGATTGTTTTCTCTTCCCTTATGTACTTTTGAAAATTTACAAAAATACAGAACAGTGATTTGATCTGTAAATGTGTATGTAGCTGGTTGATTCCCATATTGGTTTTGGAAAGGAAGGGAAGAGATGCCAATAAAAGTTAAGTTGTACCTCTACCTTCCCAGCAACAGGGTTGCTACAGAACCTGAATGAAGGAGGCCTCGTCTGCAGCCTCAGCTTCCCTGTTATGAGTAACATGAACAAATGCAGTCTGCAAAGATATGGCTATTGCAGGCGTTCACTCATTCATTAAACCACCAACCAATCTCCAATGTAGACCTCTTTTCAAGATGTAGCTATGAATATAGTCAGACCTTTCTGTGTGAGGCATAGAATGCACTTGGGATGTATCAAGAAGAAAATAGTCCAAACCACCTTGCACATGCAGAGAGAGGTAGATACCCAGGAGATAAAAAGAAAGAACAGC